ATGATTATTCATGGTTGGCATTAATAATATTACTACCAGCACAGATATTGGTGTGAGACAGAGAGAATTAAAAGTGGTTTTCATTCTGGATTGGGTGAGAGGGATAGAGAACTTTGGGGGAATCTCTCCCTTTTCCTCTGTGAGCTATTTGAGGAGTTTATTGCCATTACAAAACCTTTCTATTGCAGTGAAGGACTGTTATTTTATTGCTTTTGAAATCTGCATGCCCAGCCCTACATGGCTTTTAAATAAAGAGCTTCTTTTCTTTTCTGATTATCTTCATCTTACAAATATCAAAGCTGGACTGGTTGTCTTATGTGCTGAAGCCTCAGTGAGTGCTCAAATGTCCCTTTGGAGCTTCTCTTGCCTCTGAATTAAACAAGGAAAGAAGTTTTGTCTTGAACAAGACATCCTTTCTCCAAAAATCTTCCCTAGGCCTTGCCTTTAAATAGGTGCTAACAAATCCAAACAGTTGTAAATAGTCTGACTAAGGATCTCTCCCTCTCTGAATTATTCAGTTTTCCAGGCTCTGGAGAGGAAGGGAATCATTCCACTCCCTCTGCAGTTGTCATAGAGACAAGACCTGCACGTTTTTGTTAATGAAGCTGAACTAAAACTTACTCAGGCTGCCTTTCTAAATCATAAAGCAGCTCATGGACATTCCTTCCTCTCTGTCTCTCATATTTTTTCAGTCATGTCTGAATGAAATGAAGTAAATATTTAAGTTAAAATCTTTATACAGATCCTTGAGTACTTTGGAGGGGGAGTTTTGCAGTAATGAGCCTGCAGTCTGTGAGAGATGGGAGCTGCTGCTCTTCCATCAGTGTGTGCTCCTGGAATGGCTGGGCTGGGCTCTGGGAGGTGGCATTTGATTGGTACTGGGAGAGCAGGGGAGGTGCAGGAGTCCTCAGGGAAGGGAAGGAATTCTGAGTTAAAGCAACTCGTAAAACCCTGCACTGGTTCCAGCCAGGCCACAAATGAAACAAATGCAAGGGCACCACATTGTCCCAATTCCATTAGGGGCAGAAATGAGTGGAATTAGGTGGTGTGTGCTGGCTCCCTGCATTCCACAGTAAAATCCAGCAGCCTGACACCAACTTCTGCAACTAGAAATGGAAATGTGTCCTATTTTAGCAGGAAGAGTTTGTCAGACAAAAGCTGCTTTTTCTTTGCGCTCTGTAAAACTGGAGAAATTCTGGGGGCTGCAGGGAGCTCTCTGCACTGATATTTGTGCTGGCAATTTCAATAATGGAGCTGTTGGTGTAGAGTAAAGGAGTTCACAGAAGGTCAGATGTTGAATGAAAAGCTACAGCTGCTGATGTGAATTGGAGTTCAATGAGAGCAGTGCCACTGGTGCACATCAGAGTTGCTGAATGCTGGGGAATTCACGTTTGCCATGTAGGATGCAAAGATTTGCTGTGTTCCAGCAGGAAATGGTGCCTGGAGAGCCAAGGTTCCTACAGGGTGATCTTTATTTTCCTGCAGGGATAGAACCCACTGAGGGTCTAATAGAATTAATTAATCAATTCTGTCTATCTAGAATTAATAAAAGGTTTTTATCTTGTATATCAAAGAGATATAAATGGCAGTTGTGGGATGAAATGAGCTCTAAGATCCCTTCCCATCCAAACCAAACTGGGATTCTGAGATTCAGCATTGTCCAGGCCCAGGTGCAGCACATGCTTGAGAAGGACATCAGTCTCAGTGTCTCAGTGTCCTCTCCAGACTTGCTTTAAATGCTTCTCCCAGATTTTAATGCTGTTATTGAGCCCCATGGCAGCAGAACTGGTGGATTAAGGCAGCTGCAGCCCTGGAAATCCTTTCCTAGGAGTTCAGGAGAGGTTTGAGTGTCTCTGATCCTGTGCTGCTCCCTGCCGGGATCTGCCTCTCCATGGGGCTTTCATGTTTTGGGGATTTTTTGGAGTGGGAGGATTTCCATTTTGCACTACCTTTACCTGGCTGTCTCCTTGGGTATCAGTTATAAATAGCTGATATTCACTGGGGTACTTTTGGGATAACTTCCCACCTAACTGCACAAGAACTCTCTTGGAGAGGAATTTGATCAGAAATGAAGCTCTGGTTCAGCCACACTGCCCAGGGCCACACCCATGGCACAGAAGTGAATGCATGAACTTCAAATCTGTGTCATTCCAGTGCTAAATCTGTAGTTAATTTTGCAAACAAATGCAAAGAAATAAGCATGGTGTTCCAAAGTGAGTGTGCAGCTATTTCTGTTCCTGATGTGCATTTAGTGAGGGTTTTTGGTGTGCAGTGGCAGGAACTGACACTCTCCCTCCTGCTTCTCTCCCCCCAGTCCCACCCTGTTCCCTGCTGAGCTGGGTTTTCTTAACTAGCAAGGCAAGGAACAAAAAGCAGACTGTTTAAGTCAGACTCCTTTCCCTGAAAGCCTATTCAAGGCCTAGGCTCAATGTTTCATCTTGAGTGCTATTGTTTAATTGAAAACACATTTGCACACTCCCAGATGGAGCAGTGCTGAGGGGAGTCACAGATTTAAGGAATGTTTTATGTTAAGTGGAGCTAAAGTACAGATTTGCAGACTCAGTGATTCACTTCTCTGTGGTGCTGTTTTAGGACCCTGTGCTTTCATTGGGGTGATTTTGCAAAGTTTTTGTGCAGCTGCATTTGTTCTGGATGTTTCCTTGCAATTCCTCCAAGAGTTGAAAAGCAACTTCAGAAATATTTGTTAATCACCAAAGGAAAGAAATCATTGAGCTCTTAAGTTTAAATAGTGTGTTAGTTTTAGCCTGGCATAATTTTGGGGGGAAGTTAGTGA